ATCGCATCAACTTCCTGCTGTCCACCCGTTGAGAAAAGACGGATGGACGGCAGACTCACATTTGCAGGTTGCCGTCTCCAGGCGGTTTTTTGTTCTGCTCGCGTGCGCACACACGGTCAGAAAAAACACACCCATTCTTTACAGCCGTTACCGGCTGTTTTTGATATACATACGATCTCCGGCGCTATATCCTGCCTTCTTTGCACCCCCCCCTTGAGTGCCGCCCTCCTGACCCCTCACCTTCAATCCCGGGATCCGCTAGCGCATCTGCGGTTCTGGACCGGCTCGGGAGGGATATCAGCATCTTCCTCCTTGCTGATCTCCCTCTGAGGTCTGAATGCAAAAGTGATGTGTATTACATAACTTCTGCATTCACCTGTCAGTCCTCTGGCTGCTATAGCCAGAGAGAAGAAGCTGATGGAGCAGATGTCTGTTTCATCAGCTTCTTTTCGGTTCCCCAGGTGACAGAGGTCTTGGAGACCCCTAATGTCTCCATAAAGAGAACCTGTCAGTGTGCCTTTGCTATTATATAGGGGGGTTGTTATCCCCCTATGTGATGGCAATAAGTGTAAAAAAAAAACATTAAAACAGTTAAAAAAAATTAAGTCGCATATTAAAAAGTAATGAAAAAAATGTTTAAATCCTCCACCCCCACATTTACGCACATATAAATGTAAATACGCGTTCGAAGCGCCTGTGTGCGAAAATTACAATTGCGCTACACATGTTACATATCGTCGCGAACGTCGGAGTGAGAGCAATTCATTCTAGGGCCATCAATCACTGAAAACACTAAACTGATGAGCGGTAAAAGCTTTTAAAACGTCGCCTATGTCTCCTTATATTTTAGCAAAAAATTGGGTAATAGTAAATGTTTTGTCATTTAATATAGGGGAAGTGGTGATTAAATACCACCAAAAGAAAAGCTCTATGTGTCCCTAAATAATGGTTTAAAATAATTTCAGTACAGGGTTGAATGACGGGGAAAAATGTCAGTCAAAGTAGTGCAGCGCTGAATACTGAAAAGGGGGTTAACAGCGGTTTAAACTTACCCCGTTTTTGCCGCGCGCTCCCGCACGAGATACTAAAACTGCTCGGGCGGCAGCATGGCATCCTGGGGCGGGCGCATGCACAGTTTACATTTTCTGCCGGGAGACGAGCAGAGACACAAGATCTATGGACGCGTGCACCCACATGCAGACACCGTGGGATCGGAAGTGCCTGCAAGCAGAGAGGAGTCAGCGCTGGATCGGAGAACCGCTGCACCACTGGAGGGACAGATGAAAACATGAGGAAAGAAGAGGAAGATCGGATTAAGATGCATAATTTAACGCCAAGGGCACAAGAATCCCAAGTAAGCACAGGGAATAAAGATCACAGGGATAGCTAGAGACACAAGGGGTACAGAACAAGGCATAAGACTTGTTGCTCGCATTAAAAGCGTAAAGAGGAGAATTATGGTAATGGGGAGTAAAGGTTAGAGGATGGTTACTGACCAGGGTTCATGGGAAAATGTTGCAAAGTGTGCAATTCTGGCCAAAAATGAGGTAGCAGTGAAGGAGATAACGGCAAACCCCTTCAATTAAAATCAATATGAAATTCCAGCACTACCCTTCTGTCTGCAGTTACTTTCACACAAAACGTCCCGGCATTCTCAAGGTCCACAGATTATGTGCAGCCCTGTTATCTCTTTGTGATAACAAACTCTGAAAGTTCTGTTTTGAACACCATAAACATTTGTTCCACACTGGATTCCAAATAAACTGCTGCATATAATGGAATATACTGCTCACTGCAGTCCCTCAGCTGCATATATTGTATGAAATAGTAAAATGTTACTTTCCTTATTACAATCAGTTCCAGTAGTAAGGGAAATCCATTATCATTGAATGTTACATGTTCATGTCGAAAGATCAACGTGTTCTCCTGGCTGGATCATCTGACGGTCTCCGCTCCCACATGCCCTTCTCACGCAGCACCTACGTACATTGACTCAGTATCCTGACCCTCCCTTACATGATTCCAGGCTCTGTAAGCTGGCAGGTGCAAATGAAATACTGCAGGCCACCAATTATTCATAAATTCAATTCATTGTTTGCACTTAGTCTTTCACATTCTTAAAAGGAAATGTGCTTTGTAAAAACCATATAAATCCACCTGGACAAATCCCAACCTGGTTTTCATCATTACCGGCTTCAAGGGATGCTTTGCATTGAATTCACAGCTATTCCTTTTTGTCTAAGGTCTCGTTCACACCTAGGCGTATTGCATATGCGCGTCTGTCGCGCGGTTTTTACGCGTTTCCAAAGGCTACTTGGCTGTATCCCAATGGAAACGCGCAACAAAACGGCCCAAAGTAGTACATGTACCTTTTCAGGCGTGGGCCGTTTTGTTGCGCTACAAAACGTTCAGGTGTGAACGAGGGCTAAGTTTCTGCTTAAAAATAGAGTATATTTGTGTAACATCTTCATAAATGTGTATTGGTAGATAGTTTGTAGGTGGTCCTTTACCAGTCCCCATATATTTTCCCTACAATTAAACTTTTAAAGGGTACAAAATGTGAAAAAATTATCTTGCAGCAACCTTCCTTCCCCTCTGCACCTCGCCCAGCGCCCACTGTGATGCCCCTACCAGCATGTGTAGTGATCGGTACAGCGTACGCTAGAATGGACAGCCCCACAGTCTGGAATAATCAGCATCACAGCAGGGAGGCTGCGGTGGGTACGGGTACATTCATTTTTTCACCTTTAAAAAAAATTGAACTTGCTGTTTAACTTTTGGGTGCTTTGCACCCATCCATTAATACTGAACTATTTGGTCTCTAAAAATGAGAAATATTTACTTGTAATTCAGATATAACTGAACTGACCTCTTTAAAAGACCTGTGGGTATAAGCCAGGTGTGCCCATTAGGTCGATTGCAAAGCTTATCGATTGCATTTTCTTTTGGTAGCTCTCATTTGAGCTCGTCATTTGAAAAGTACAGTCCTGGCCAAAAGTTTTGAGAATGACACAATTATTAATTTTTACAAAGTCTGCTGCTTCAGTGTTTTAAGATCTTGTCAGATGTTACTATGCTATACTGAAGTATAATTACAAGCATTCCATAAGTGTCAAAGGGTTTTATTGACAATGACATGATGTTTATGCAAAGGTTCAATATTTGCAGTGTTGACCCTTCTTATTCAAGGCCTGCAATTCGCCCTGGCATTCTGTCAATCAACTTCTGGGCTACATCCTGACGGCAGCCCATTCTTGCATAATCAATGCTTGGAGTTTGTCAGAATTTGTGGGGGGGTTTGTTCACCCGCCTCTTGAGGATTGACTACAAGTTCTCAATGGGATTAAGTTCTGAGGAGTTTCCTGGCCATGGACCCAAAATGTTGAGGTTGTGTTCCCCCAAGCCACTTAGTTATCACTTTTGCCTTATGGCAAGGTGCTGCATCATGCTGGAAAAGGCATTGTCCGTCACCAAACTGTTCTTGAATGGTTGGGAGAAGTTGCTCGTGGAGGATGTTTTTGTACCATTCTTTATTCATGGCTGTGTTCATATGCAGAATTGTGAGTGAGCCCATTGCCTTGGCTTAGAAGCAACCCCACACATGAATGGTCTCAAGATGCTTTACTGTTGGCATGACACAGGACTGACTGTAGCACTCCCCTTGTCTTCTCCGGACAAGAAGGTATTTTCCGGATGCCTCAAACAATCGGAAAGGAGATTCATCAGAGAAAATTACTACCCCAGTCCTCAGCAGTCCAATCCCTGTACCTTTTGCAGAATATGTCTGTCCCTGATGTTTTACTTGGAGAGAAGTGGCTTCTTTGCTACCCTTCCTGACACCAGGCCATCCTCAAAGTCTTCGCCTCACACCTGCCTGCTGCTATTCCTGAGCAAGCTCTGCACTGGTGGTACCCCGATCACGCAGCTGAATCAACTTTAGGAGACGGTCCAGGAGCTTGCTGGACTTCCTTGGGCACCCTGAAGCCTCCTTTACAACAATTGAACCTCTTTCCTTGAAGGTCTTGATGATCCGATAAATAGTTGACTTAGGTGCAATCTTAGTAGCAGCAATATCCTTGCCTGTGAATCCCTTTTTGTGCAAAGCAATGACAACTGCATGTGTTTCCTTGCCGGTAACTATGGTTAACAGAGGAAGAACAATGATTTCAAGCACCACCCTACTTTAAAAGCTTCCAGTCTGTTGTTCTAACTCAGCATGACAGAGTGGTCTCCAGCCTTGTCCTCGTCAGCACTGACACCTGTGTTAACGAGAGAATCAGTGACATGGTGTCAGCTGGTCCTTTTGTGACAGGGCTGAAATGCAGTGGAAAGGTTTTCCTGGAGATTAAGTTCATTTTCATGGCAAAGAGGGACATTGCAATTGATCTGATCACTCTTCATAACATTCTGGAGTATATGCAAATTGCCATCATACAAACTGAAGCAGCAGACTTTGTGAAAATTAATATTTGTGTCCTCAAAACTTTTGGCCACGGCTGTAGATCTTAGCACACAAAAATGTGGTCACCCCTGATATAAGCCATCTTGTGTAGGTGCTTTAGGCACAGGTTTTTCTAATTTCTGAGCCAAATGTAGATTGAACCACGGTGGTGCGTTTAAAATTGTGTTAATATTAGAGATCCACTGAAATTGCGGCTGCCGAAACATATAGGCCGACATTGCGGTGCATGCCTGGTTTCTCTCCTCCCCGCTTGGCGCTGCTTTGTGTCTCCTCTGACACAGCGTAGGGTCCAGCGAAGAGGAGAGAAACTGTCACGGAAGGCTGAGCGGTGCGGGGGAGGAGAGCAATGTGAGCAGCAGGTGTGTCACGAGACTGGGCTTTCCTCCCGCACCGCCCTGCTCAGCCTCCTGTGACAGAATCAGGGGAGCAGTGTGGGGGCGGAGACAGCTGTAATAGGAGGCCGGGCTCGCAGTGTGGGGGAGGAGTCAGCTTTGCAGGAGACCAAGCTCTCCTCCCCGCACTGCTCGCTCAGCCTCCTGTGAAATCGGGTCGGGATGGAGAGCGGGTACAAGCAGTCAGTGAACAGTGATCACTGACTGCTTGTAAATTGAGGACATAGTATGTTTACTGTGTCCCCAATTATGAATGAATGGGAAGTGATCCATCACTTACTGTTCATGATTGTGGACACGGGACACGGTAAACATACTATCTCCACAAGTTATGAATGGGCAGGAACACTCAGTTTAGAGGCTTCTTGTTCATTCAAAGAGATTGAGGACTCTGTGTCCTTAACATTTTTAAATTTTAAAAGGGAAATATCAGGGATCTGTTTAGACACCTAAATATTTCCCCAAAGCCAATTTTTGGTTTTAAACATTTTATTTCCTTACACCTCTAGTTAATACCATCCTCAAGTTTTGCAAAGATCCAGAACTAGTTTAGAAGCAGTCATTGGGAGTTTGAAAAAACTGAGATCTCCATATCCTGTTATTATTCAGAAATAAAGGGAAAGCCACTCGGTTTCTGAAACTGATCATTTTATGGGATAATTTCAGGTCAAGTTGAATTATCAAACTGTCTTTATAAATCCTGTGCATCCTAAGCTGCTAAAACAACATCTTTCTGTATTTTTGTGACATGCAGAGTAAAAGAATTGCTCCAATTTTATTTTCCATTCTTGCACCACTCTGAATTGGTATTTACTCTTGTATTGATCACTAGAGAATGTGGGTAGTATATGGCCTGCCTAAGTGACATTTTAGATAAATGCTGCTTTTTTTACATTCTAGTGTTTTTGTGGCTTTCAGGCAAAAAGATGCAAAATCTGTCTGCACAAGTAACAAGCGACTTCCTGCAGTTTCCTGACGCAACTGTAAAAGCACTTGAGGAAGATGATATACAGTTGGATTCTGTTCTTCGGGCAAAATTTTCAACAGGTATGTTTAATGTTTTTCATCGTGTTCTGAAATGTTATATTTACTACTAACATTCCTGGGTTTTTTTCGCAGGGGTGGGGTTGTGTTTTTTTTTTTTTGTGCCCTTTCACTGCTGCCAACGTAACGATATTGGCGGCATTGCTGGCTTGTACACGCATACAAACACAACACTCGCGATAGGGGTGCACACATTTGAAAATTGCCTTTGTGCCACATGTATTGGTTATCACACTGCACGCCAGAGTGAATGCAATAAATCAAGGGCCATCTTTAATGGTTAACTCTAAATTGATACGCTGTAAAGGCTTTTAAAGTTTCTCCCAAGGACAGTTTTTGCTACCGTAATTTTTTTGCCATTTCATGGTCTTGTGCAATTTTGAGGCTGGACATACTTGGTATCTGACGCAACCTCATCTTACCAATAACTGGGTGTTATGTAGTGTTTTGTGTGCACTAAAGTTAATTTGAGTGTATTTATAAATTAAAATATTGATTTGATTAAAACAGTAGGGCAAATATGTCATGTGAATTGCAACTGCCGCCATTTTAGCCTTCTGGATCTCTATAATGAGGTTTTTAAGTAAATGTTTGACCTAAAAGTCTGCATTTTAAACAACAAAATTGAGAAAACAAAAAATCTCTAGTGAAAGGGTTAATCAGACATATTTAGTCCTTTTTAGTCTTTTTTTAATTGGATGGAAGATTGCAGGTATGGCTTTACTTTGCTAGCTGTTCCTGCTCACAAGAGGATGGACTCCTAATATAAACAGTGTTATTCACTAAAGGGGTGAAGCGTTTGGAGCAGGCAGGAAAAGCTGATTTGGAAAAATTTTCCCTTCCAGTTCAGCTATGTTGTCCTAGATGGTTCACTTCTCCTGCCTTCTCCAAACTCATCACCCTTTAGTGCATGACCCTGAAAATGTTTCCCCTCTTCAAGGTCTGTGCCTTTCGAACAGAAAGTTGATATTCAAGTTTTAGCTTGGTGCCTTAGTAGCTGTAGACTTTGGTCTGCCTTTATAAGATGATTTCAGAAAAGAATGATGGTGATTAACTAGAGAATGTCTAAATCACTCAGCATATCTCAACTTGCAACACAGCCTCACAGATCTGGACTGGGACATTCATCAGGCTCCCTGCACTTGGACGTTTCTAGTACAGAGGTGCACATCTGAGCTCTCTCCTCTTCTTTTTATCCCACCCCCCTATTTTTTCTTAGAAGGGCCAAGGATGTCTTTACTCCACACTATAGCTAATATGTTTTAGACTGCTTTTCTCTCCTCTGGTCCACAGGTCCTGTGTCAATGTATCTGAGACTAGAGAGGATGTGTTGCAAACAATTTGGAATAGAAATAGTATCTTAAGTAAGATGCAAAGACAGTTAAAATATAATTGTGCATGTATCCTTAATTCCCCTTTTGTTTGCATGCACACTTACAGGTTTTAGCTTGTTTAACCACTTCCGGGGCCGCAATACGTCTATAGACGGCGACCCTTTGAAGCCCCCCGCCACGGCTGCCGGTGTCTTCCCCGAGCACCGCTGTCCCCGTGCA